AAACATTTAGTAACTAGATCATTGGTTTGATCAATTATATTCTGAACATAGCTTCTAGGCATTTTAGGCAAACTGTGGAAAACAGAGACAAAATCATCACATCTGTTTTTAACATAGTCTTCAAAATTAAAATCAATACCAGTGCCACTGTTGCCACTCTCCAAATTGTCAGTAGTCAAAGGAATATCATGACTTGTATCAGAAATAGGTTGGCTTGCATTAGTAGTAGAAATGTCTTGACTTGCATTAGAAGTCTGATCTTTGACAAAAGCACAAGAATCAATATGACTCAAAAAAGATTTTAAATTAGTATAAAATCTACTACAGCCAATAGCTTTACAACGAAATGAGTGGTCCCCACATTTGCCGTGATCACAATCAATGTGAGCCTTTATTGCCTTGGCCTTCCTAGGAACTACTTTGGAGCAGAGTGGACAAGTAATCATTGTACAAGTTCACAATGAGTCAGACTTAAATTAACAAAAGACACCATATACCTAAATAAATAGATAAACTATATGCAAACTTCAACAGAACAGCATGTGAATGCATGAGCAATACATACACAAAAATGGTATGACAAAGATTAAAGTCTTAAGGCAACTTTTTCAGAAACAAAGAAAAACTCTTTAAATGAGAGGCAATGAAGGATTTCAAACCAGTATCATCTTCATAATCTATGCGAGTCTCTAAACCATACACATTACGTTGCATGCACAGCCACAGGTGTCTTGACTCGGGAGGATAAAGCGCATTCAACGCACCATTGACTTTGTAGCAAATGTCGATGGCTTCCAAAGGAGACGGGACAGGCCAGCGTTGTTTCTCCAAGATGACTAAACACTGACGGATATCATCAAGATCACCGACAATCACAACAAAAGGTTGGAAACTGAACCCAAACTTTCGGAGAACTTCTTGTCGAGTTTTGATGATTTTGTCAAGTTCTTTAATGTCCTATAAAAGAAATAAAATGAGAAATAACAAAATAAAGAGTAAACAATTGTAATAGGTAGAATGTTCATACCTTTATTTTAAAAATGAATGTCTGCTGAACCTCAGGACGAGATGGCCTCCACACTTCCTTAGATTTGATAAGTTTGGGTAGAGACCGAATTTTAAAGAGTTCAGCAAAATTCAAAAGAATAAGGGTAGTGTGCTGCCCTAAAAACAGAAGCCCCAAACTGTTAGAGTTAATTAACAACAGGAAAAAGAAAAAAAAAACAGTTTAAAAAGGAGGTTACCTTCAGGAATATCCATAAATAGTTTGGGTAATTTTCTTAAAAGCTGCTCTTTTAAGAAATTTAGGTATTGAGGCCAATGGGTACTGATGCGCCCTTTGGAAGAGGGACTCTGGTCCTCAAAATCACTAACAAGCTGAAAAAATTGAAAAAAATAGTTAAGATATTATTTATGTTATCTAGTTAGCATATAACACACAAGAGCAGTACTTACGAGTTCATATCCCACACAGGACTTCAGAGCAGGGAAGAACTTAATATACTTGGTAATATCGAGTCTTCCACGAATTATTTTCCTCAATTCATATGTTGTCTCCCACTTCTCCAGAACAGT